GCATGAAGGGGCAATCGATGCATTCTGTAATGCTGCTACACTATTCGGCTAAGATATCGACATAGCTTATGCCAGAGTTCTGGCACTTGTAGCATCAAGCCGATCAACGCTGCTACGAAGCAACAACCCTGGGTCGCAGTTCGCAGCGAGGTTTCGAGAATTGGTTTGATGGCCAACTAAAAAGCAGCAGCATCCTCTCATGCAGAACATGGCCTTCTTCAGTTGGCAATATACGCCGATCCTTCTCAAGTCTACCTATTTGAACGTAAACTGACAGTTGAAGATATTGTCTATCCGAGGCTTGATATTGATGGGTTCTGGTCATTCAATAGCCCCCCAGAGGAACATGAAAGCTTCTGTCAAGGCCCTCTTCTGCGGATGTTATTCATTTTATCTAACATTTCAGTTTCTATCGCTGGATAATCTCAGGAGCACGCAGAAGTCTTGTCACAGGGGTCTGGCCGTGCCCCATCAGCATTAGCAATGTTGTTAGTTAGCTGCAGAGATGAACATAGCGTGCTTCGAGAAGTATCTGACTTATGAGCTCTACGTTGTGCCTTACCTGTCAGAACCTTCAGCTTGCCATCCTGTTGCAATAACCCATGCCTGAATTGACACCAGCCTCCACTTACAAGATCAAGAAAGGCTCTCGGCAAATTTAAATTGACCCATCAACACTGGAGGCCAAAGTGACAGTGATAGTGAGCCAGATGTGTTATTTGCAGTTGAGACTTGTGGCTGAGAGCTTATTCCACCACATTGAACTTAGTTAGACAGTGATAGTGACCAAAGCAGAGATTCGCTGTCTATAATCTTGGTACCAGGCAACAACTTGAGCCGATGAGCTCAGCAAGAATCTGATCAAAGTCAGGGTCTAACTTTCGGCCATCCTTTTTGTCGGCTTCAAAGTTGGCCATAACAACGACAGATTATTAAAGCCATCTGGGCCAACAAGGTGAATTCTACAAGAAAGTAATAACATACAAAAAGGATGATACATTTTCATGAATCCCCAGGTGACTCCAATTATGATGCCAGCTCTGTCGGAAGTTCCGGACAACAGGTCGTCTTTCGGCTTGACGTTTGTATTAGGTCCTTTGGCCTGGCATTGCCATCTTGTATATTCGGCAAGAAGATTCCCTCTTCATCTTCTACCCTAGAAATCCTCTTATATCCTAGTGACTACAATGTACGCCTGAAAGGAGAATCTCTGGAATCCCCGGCGTCGCTAAGAGGAGCGTTCATAATGCCAGGCGCAAAGCTAAGGCTTCTATAAGAAACTAAACGTAGCAATAGAAAAAGTTCCATCACCTCTGCATGCGATCTCTTCTGACTGATTATGTTATCAACAAAGGAATCACTACAGAAAGCGTCAAAAGTCTCTGTCTACCGAATATTAGTGCAAGCGTCTCGAGCTTTCGCCTTGTCAACCCAAGTTCCTTTCACAGATATCAGTCCACCACTGTCAAATCTAGCTTCCCAGCAGCTCCTCGGAGTTCGGTGACCTGAGCAGCTCCATTTCCATCTTATCGTCCGAAGAATCTGCCAATATCAGGTAGGACATGCACTACCCTAGTAGCTTGTGACTGAGGGTGCTTTCCCCTTCCTTTCTCCTAAGAGGTCCTCTAGCAGTAGTGACTGGAACTATAGTAGATTGTTGGGTATAGATCTCTGTGGTAGGGCAGCAAGCGGAAGGTATGCTCGTATGGCAAAAGTCAGTTCTGTCAGGCTTATCCCGGTTACGATCTGCTATGCTTATGGTGTAAGGGGGTGACAAGGAATTGGGCTAGATCAAATTGTGAAGGGTGGTAACCCTAGATAACTGCAGGCAGCTAATAAGACTCCTATTCACGTTGTCCTGCTAGACTCGCATTGCCCAATCATAAGATTACATCCCTGTGTGTAATTGCAGCTTTCCGGCCAAACGACAAAGGCATATTCCTCGTCATAGCGAAGACTTTGTTCCAAGCCTCATTGCGCGAGTCCGTCGACCAACATACCTAAAGTGTAGCCTGAATCCCTGCTGATGTTGAGAGAATCAACGTTGAGTCGGATTCTATACTTTTGGGTGCCACTCGTCTTTGTCATCGAACATGGCGCTCCGATTTCGCCATTCCACAAGTATCACGTCAGCCATGGACGCCCCCTTGACCTACAACCCACGAGAGCAATATATGAGGTGTTTAACTGCTTCAGGGCCTCGATGTTCAGGGGGGAAGGTGCCAAAGGATTTCGCCTCCACTGGGAGGTGGGCGCGAGTTCACGAATCAGGCGCTGGGAAAACTGTCGATATTCCCTATATACAGGTCGAATCGATTCGGCAATAATCAGAGGATTGGATCATGGTTTCTGCAAATCGGCTGTTGTTTTCTTTATCGTTTCAGTAGCAGCTCCATACAAAACTCATGGAAGAACCTACATCCTCGAACGTGAGAAGAAGGAAGCCTTTTTGTCTTTCAGTGCCAATATCCACGTTTATGTATACTAATTCGCCACTGAGGAGTCTCCTCAGTGGACGCGGTACCAGCAGCATTTGCAATCATAGAGATTGGGATATCCTCAACAAGTAAGACCCTTCTAGTAGATTTGCACCAGACTCTCTGGTAGTCTACCGTTGCCTAGCGCTCTACCCCCCTAGACTTGGCCACGCATGGCTCAATTCGCGTAGGATATTTCGTATGCCGCTCTGTCTCGGGCGTCTCTTTAGACTTGAACGATGAATCTATCGCTCTACGGTTACAGGTTTGTCGTTGCTTAGTATCATGCTTATACACACCTCCTTGACATAGCCCTCTTCCCTCCCATGCATCATTCAAGAAATTTCTTGATCTTTGTGTGCTGATTTGTTGTACTTGAAGCAGACGTTCGTTGTATACCACTCAGGATCTTCACAGTCACTGATACTACACAACCCATACGTGGCTGATTCATCCTAGCCCCTGACCTTTGGTTGTCGAGTTGCTGAGGTCATTAGGTACGTATGGTCGATCTATGTACTGACACATGCCATAGGGATAGATGCGGTTCCTAAATTCGTCGATCCGAAGAAGAACTAGCCAAATATTAATAACCGATGGTATTAACAACTGGATGGTTGGCGTGTAACTACCAATATCATCATCTTTGTCTCGACCCCAAGAATCAATGAAGGCAGTAATCCTTCTTTCACCGTCATTTCACTTCAATCGTAAGAGAGCCATAGATATCTGGGTCCGTGAATCCAGATCTTCACGCTACCGTGAATGCGAGGTCAGTGCGCCTGATGCAGATCACCTGCTGGGGCAGATATGTTAATGACCTCCCGGTGATTCAAAGTCGCTTCTACCATCATCATCACTGTCTAGATTTGTGGCGTGCAAGCACTCTCAGACATAATATGCTTCTCAGAAACGGACGCTACCTGGATGATGAGCCTTATTTGTTCAAAAACAAGATGCGGTATGGGTAGAATAGACGGTGAAGCTGAAAGTTTTGGCCTTAAGCCTCTTGATGATGAAGGCTCTTCCTCTACTTTGCTCGGGCGCCTCCATTCATGAAATAATGATAGAGCCTTCCTCAAGGCTATCATACATCTACTGCATGAAGAGGGGTAACCGAGGGTGGATCAAGTGACTCTGGAAGGTAGCCTTCCATACCCGCCATGGCCATATTATGCAGTCTAAATCAACGCCAGAAATGTCAACCATTCCCCAAACTCCGGCTATACTCTCATCCTATGATATAGCGAGTGGCCGAGACGCGCTGCTCGCATTAATCTTTAGCGTGTCTGTGTAAAGTATGGACTTTCCGACCAGCGTCAATTGTGGCAAGGAGTATCCTTGAAGACTATCAATTTTGGAAACATCTTGACACTTGTTTGCGGGATTATCTTTGACTTTTCATTCGTCTTGGAACTGCGTTCACTACTCCTAAAATTCCAAATGGCCTATTCGCCTGTTCATCCGAACATCGGCAGGCTTATGAAAATGTCCTTGTGATGCATTATTCGTTTAAGATATACCACGCCTGAACAACATTGCCTACCGTCCTTTGTTCGGGTGTCTGATCAATGTGGGAATGATGTGTTGGCTTTTCCTAAGAGCTTTTGGGACTGTTCTTCTGCCATCATAATCCTCGAACAGGACCAACGGTAAAACTGAGACTTTTGGCTGATAAATACAAACCCCTTTCCTGGGAACGAACGTTTACGCCAATTCGGGGACAGAAAGTTAGTTATATAACCGTAGACAATTCTCTTATACGTTCAGAAGCTTGTCAACATGGCTATGTCTCTTCTCGAGCCGCTCTTTGACTCTTAAAACGAGAAGAGTGCCTGTAATCTATTAAATCCCTTTATGATTCATATGGTACTTTGCAAATTAGCCTTCCTAAATTCCACAGGGCGATATCCCTTCGACAATCAAAAGCTCATCCAGGTTGGTAGGTAGAATACCAACTGCCTACTGAGGTAATCTTGACAATACTCAGATATGGTTGTAGGTATCAACGTCAGCACAACTACAGTGAGGGAGAGTCAATAGCCGGATTGTACCATTTGATCACGTTAACAGCTGAGTTACGGTAGGTTTTATGAAGCCGTCGCTGGCTCTGTCGTCACTGGAGCTACAAGCACATACTTCCGGTACCATACCCAAAAGACCTCGGCAGTCCAGACCCTTAGCCCTTGGATTGGATGCCAGCAATGACCGGAAAGGTTGTGTACAGCCCAGAAGTTGACCTAAAAGACCAACTGTGTCCAGAATAGACAACCTGATTAGCTGGACATGTACTGGGAGTGATCAAAGGTGGCCGGACCGGCTTCCAGTCTTTGGAGAATAAAGACGCCACGCAACACCACGCGTGTTCGTAGACGATGATGGAGGGGACGAAGGGCAAGTGTTTTTGTGTCGTCGCTCGTGAGCGTCTCCAGGTGACGCCACTAGACACATGCTATACTGCCATGCGCATTGCCGCCCGATCTTCATTGTCCCCACACTTCTTTGTCTCGATACTGATAGAGATCAGGTTGGAAGCATATAGTAGAAGCTGGTGTGGTTCACAGAGCTGTCACCGAGGGCTATATGGATTTCGTGGACGAGTTGGGCGGCGTTGGGTAGCTGGCTGTCGTGTTCAGGATTGATGTAGCAGATGTAATCGACCTTCTTGCACTTCGAATTGGGGATCCGCCGTGCATCCATGATGCCAACACTGTTCCTTTACCTCAAAGTTAATAACGTTTTATGAAGCTGTAACGGCGACATACCAAGATCGAAAGCTATCAAGTTGGGGGAGATGTTGGATTTCTTCGATAAATGCAACATTAAGTAAAGGAGTGTAAATGTAGTTCTTCCAACCACTGTCATCCTCCTTTTTATACAAGTAGGTACAGGCATAAGCTAGTGCCTGCAAGACATCGCAGAGTTTGAGTTGTTGGTGCAAGTCGGGCGAGTCTGCATCTCTATTATCTGACTTGGAAGATTTCAAGTCAGTTCTACGGTCAAGATCATCCATGGGATGGGTGCCTATGTCCGGCTATGATCTTTGAGTCAGCGTGTGAATCGGCGATCGAGTTGAAGGGACTTTACAAACCTCGAGATACTTTAGGACAACACGCTGCCCCTCTGCAATATGTTTCATGTTGTTATTGAGAACCTCCAAAGACTAGGGGGCTAGTGGGTTTGACAAGTCAAGTTGTTGGTGGTTGAGGGTTTCACTCTAGGTCAAAAATGCCGACTTTTCTTTGCTGGGCGAAGAGTTGTGACTGTGAGGTTGTTTTGGGGAGTATTGTCACTATTACTCTTGATAGGTTTCTCAGAAAATAAAGATATGACCGGCTTGTGGCGGCTTTAACGATGAGGCGAGAGTGGATTGGGTTGTCGATGCTCTACGGTTGCTGGCCGAGAATCGAGGCTCACAATCTCCGCAAACCAACATTTGAACATCGCTAACTATACGGGGCAGCGCTTATTTTCAAAGGGATAATTTCTTTGACTGTTGGATATAACCACTATCAATTATGTAGCCAGGAGTATTTATGTCTACAAGCCTGTAGATAGCATCCATGAACACATAGGTGACAAGCACATCGCAACTGTAAGAGCTCTGGAGCATATCTTTTCTCCTGACAAGATACTGCTGCACTTCTATTTATTATTATGGCAACGAAAGTGAAACTTATAAAACTCTTTTCTTGCTGCTTTAGTCTTTCCAGCTCTCGATCCTAGAATCGTGTTCGCCAATTTGGTAGATAGAGAAGGAGTGTTCTTTAAACCAATATCTGAAAAGTAACTACTTTATTATTTAAAGTGGCTACCTAGGAGAGCACAAAGGAGGAAAGCATTAGTTGAACTTCATCCCCTCATTTGTAGTGGTTCATGCCAGGATTCATCAGACAGAAAGGGCCTGGCACTTGGTAGTAAACCCCTATTTTCGCTACGTTCATAGTACTTGGGAAGAATCGCGAAGCATTATTGAAGCCTCCTCAATGACTGACCAGTATACGGACTGATGACCTTGATGTCAGCTGCACTGACCATTACCATAACCACTATGAACAACTAAAGACCAAGCCGAACCCGCCGTGGGTTGCGCATGTACACGCAGTGATTGCCGGTGGTTTTATCTACTAATGTTCACGTCAACAGTCATCCTCTTCCTCTACGGTCCCCAGATCAACATGGCACTGGCGGCCTCTGTTACCATCTATTCACTGTGTCCTTTGACAGTAAGAATATCTATTCCTCATCTCAGAATGTCAGTAGCAGCTCGAGATAACTACCTTTACTGATTCCGTGACTCCAGAGTTCTCTTTCCTTTCTTTCCTTCTCATCAACCAACACTCTACTCTACGATCAACACCAACGTTACTTCCTATTTGTCCTAACAACCACCTTTGTCACTATATGCAATACGGTTATCGGCAAATATGTCTGCCGCCGCTGCAGCGGGTCTGTCAATAGTTGGGAAAAGGTTGAATTGTGTAACCTTGCCCTACAGACCGGTGGTGTTCACTAAGACCGCCCTATTCGTTACGACAATCGCAATACGACCTGGCATAACTGCCGTTCCTGCAAAGAGGAATACTGGATGTTAGTCTACTACTGCCAACAGGGGATTCCCTATCCTACACCTAACCCTCCCTATTAAGGGACTCGACACATAGATCAAGCAAGGGTTGCATTGAGCGTGTGCGACGACCCAACAGCGATGCTCACATCAACGGCGATTTGATACTAGGAAAGTAAAAACACTAAAAAAAGACCAAAATACAAAACCAGACCAAAAAAAGGAGAGCCTGAGATTTATGCAATGCGACATGGGCAAAGACCTAAGTGGAATACACATAAGAACGACAACGACTTGATATGATAAAAGGAAATACTAAAAAAAAGGCAAAAAATACAAAATCCGACAAAAAAAAAGAACCTAAGATTGATATGCCATGGGCGAAGACCCGACTGCAACGCATGTATGAGCGATGATTTAATACGAAAAAAAGGACAATATAAAAACAGACAAAAAATACAATACCTAACTAAAAAAAGCGAACTTAAAAAAAGAGAAATTGGAAGTAAAGGGAATATCTTTTAGACTAGAAAATAGTAAAATACTAATAAAAAAACAAAAAAACAAAAAGTAAAATGTATTTTAATTAATGTATTAAAGGTGCTTTATGTATATAAATGCTATATTAATAATACAGTAGGCAGGCAAAAGTTCTAACACATAGCCAAAACTAGCTCTAGTTTTAAAGTATAAATATAAATACTAAAATAATATATATAAATAATCTTTTTAATATTAATATAATCTTAAATAGCTAATTAATAATAATATTAATTCATTTCTTAACTTTTATTTATTTTAATATTATTAGTAACTTATTAAAGTTATATAATAATATTTAAAAATTTATA